GTGACCATCCAGGATGGAGTATCTCGTAGAAAATGGATACAGTTTTCCCCACAAGAAAAAGTAAAGAAAATGGATACAATTTGAATGTTTTTTTTTCTACTTCATACCAAAGATTCACAGCGAACGGCCTAGTCGAATTCAGGGGCTTTATGAACACCTAGATTACAGCACACTGTAAAAGAAAAGGAAAACATATGATCAAAAACAGGTCATGTGTCACTTGTCAGTCAATTCACCCTCTGGTATCAAAGTAAATAAAATCATTTTTACTCCATGTATGCATATGGAGTAGTACCTAACTAACTACCTCGGACAATAAACAAAAGCACGAGCTTCTTTTTTACAGTAAAGGCGCGAGCTTAACTGACGTCCAGTTTGGACCATCGGCTGACAGCTTTCTAAAGGCCCAGGCTCGACTACTCAAGTCGGCATGAACTGTGCTCCGCCAACAAGTTTAACCCAAACCTGCCCGGTCGCTTTCACACGTCCGTCCGGGCGCGAGCACGAGGGAAGGGACGGCGAGACTGGAGAGCATCGGGCATTTGCCTCCTCAGCAGGGCTCCTGCCACAAAAACATACTCCACCCAGCCAAGCCACGGCAACGGAACAGAAGGCGTCCGGGGCAACCCGATTAACCCACTTCCCTTCCCCGCCGGTGAAGAAGGCCCCTCTCCGCTTCCAAAGTCTTCTCCGGCCGATCACCCCAAGTAAAGTAAAGAATTATTGCCCGATCAGCCTAGCTCCACCCCCCACACCGCACCTACCGCACAGTGCAACCCCTCCGTCCCGCCTGTCTATAAATACGCAATACCCCCCTTGCCTCTCTCCCTCCCCCTCCTCCTAGCTTCATTCCCTCCTCGCTCCAGCCATCGGATCGATCGTCGCAGCAGCAGCAATGGCGCCATTTGCGACGCCGATGAGGTTGGCGTCCCTGCAGCTCTCTGCCCTCCTCTGCATCCTCCTCTGCTCAGGTAATGCATGGACGAATGCCCGTCGCGCGAATTCAGTTGACGGGACGTCGGAGTGTGGCTGACAAGAATTTTCTTGGAATGTGCGTGCGTGCGTGCAGAGGTCTGGGTGCTGCAATGCGGCGCGGCGATCGGCATCAACTACGGGCAGGTGGGCAACAACCTGCCGACGCCGGCGCAGGTGGTGTCGCTGCTGTCGTCGCTGCGGGTCGGCAAGGTGCGCATCTACGACGTCAACCCACAGGTGCTGGCGGCGTTCGCCGGCACGGGCATCGAGCTCATCGTCACCGTGCCCAACGACCTGGTGCAGCCCATGGCCGCCAACGCTGGCCAGGCCATGCAGTGGGCCACCGCCAATATCAAGCCCTACTTCCCGGCCACGCGCGTCACTGGCATCGCCGTCGGGAACGAGGTGTTCACCGACGACGACGAGGCGCTCAAGGCCAGCCTCGTCCCGGCGATGCGCAACCTGCACGCCGCGCTGGCCCAGCTGGGCATGGACGGGTACGTGCACGTCTCCACGGCCAGCTCCCTCGGCGTGCTGGCCAACTCGTACCCGCCGTCGCAGGGCGCCTTCACGCCGGAGTGCGCCCCCCTCATGCTCCCCTTCCTCCGCTTCCTCGCCGAGACCAACGCCCCCTTCTGGATCAACGCCTACCCATACTTCGCCTACAAGGCCGACCCCGCAAAGTAATTCTCTTCAACACATTTAGTTTATTATTAATAAATCAAACATGCCACGCCAGCACACGTGTCGTTGCCCTTTCTGACGTGGATGCCACATGCGTGCAGCGTGTCCCTGTCCTACGCGCTGTCGGACCCGTACCACGTCGGCGCGGTGGACCCCTACACCCACCTCCAGTACACGAGCATGCTGTACGCGCAGGTGGACGCGGTGACCTTCGCGGCGGCGCGGCTGGGCTACGGCGGCATCCCGGTGTTCGTGTCGGAGACGGGGTGGCCGTCCAAGGGCGACGCCGACGAGGTGGGCGCCACCGTGGAGAACGCCCGCGCGTACAACCGGAACCTGCTGGTGCGGCAGGTGGGCAACGAGGGCACGCCGCTGCGGCCCCGCCAGCGCCTGGAGGTCTACCTCTTCGCGCTCTTCAACGAGGACATGAAGCCCGGCCCCACCTCCGAGAGGAACTACGGCCTCTACCAGCCCGACGGCCGGATGGTCTACAACGTCGGCCTCGCCCAGCAGCAGACCACGTCGGCGGCGTCCCTTTCCCTCGCCGCCTCCTCCGCGCCTCCCACCAGGGTCAGTGCCGCTCATTCTTCTTAATTCTATCTGCAAATTAATTTTCCATGGAACTAGCTGTGAGAAAACTGGTACAGTACAGTACAGCATATCTATCAGGATCACGCCACCTTTTTCGGTCAGTCAGAGATATATAGTCATACAGTGGTAAAGATTTGCATGCATGTGTTCCCCACAGCAACGTCAACCAAGGGTGCAATGCACATGTGGATCACTGTTGCTCCAAGCTGGACTTTGCCATAGAATCGTACTATGCAAAAGTCGCTTATCTAATCGAAAGTGGCTAGTGGTCCATGATGTCCATGCACGTAGTACCAAACTAGTATTCACTTTCATCGGCATGCATGCATGGACGGGTGAGAGATCAACATGGCGCCCTTGGCAAGTAAAGAAATTAAACAGCAACACACGCACGCAGCTAGTGTCCTAGGCGGCAGTTTTCCTTGCAGTGACCTAGCTGAATTGCAGGGTTATTCTTTCCCCTTGCTTGCACTTAAAGTGCTACTAGGTTGCAACGATCATGAGATCACTCCACTTTGAAAGAAAAAAGCACCAAGAAAGCAAGACCTACGAAGGGGTCATATCTAGTAATACTTGCAACCAACAAAAAGGAATAATCAGCCAGCCTTTGCATGCACCACGACGCTTCGAGTTCACGCTCGTGTCTCGGAGGAAAGGAAACTTCACGAGTCAAGTTTGTATGCAAGGCCGTTCGTTCTTTTTAGTATAGTCATCCCATCACCAAGGAGTAGAGATTTCTAAATATTCCTTGTGCATTTGTGCACACAAAGGATAGGGAATGATTCCAAAGTGTTCCTTTTTGGTACACTTATTGTGCAGTTTAGTATTCCCGAGGGTCAAACTTTCTGATTGTACAAATCAGCGTTAGGTGCATATGCAATTCTTCCTTCTCCACCCAAATGTGAAGTGTATACGTGTTGTTAGTGGAGCAAAAATGATGTCTGATAATTAATCACGTAGATCACCGAAAGCGGCGATGAACATGATTAGTTTTCACCGAAAGACCGCAGGCAATCTGTTGCTCAATTTTGAGAAGTGCAGTTTTTTAAAAGATGTAGATGCTTATTTACTATAGTTGTATGAACTAAAATGTTTCACCTTTTGTGATACGCAGGATGTTGGGACGGACTTGACCAGCCTGTGCATCCTCTCAGCTCTGGCCATCCTGCTCACCTCCCAGGCTTTCTTACTGGGATAGCAAAAGCACCCAAGAGCGCGGCCAAATGCATGCAAGCAAAATGGCCTTGACTTTTGTGGACCAAAAGCCTTGCAGACCAAAGGGCAGAGATGGTGCACCATTCGAAGGTATGCCATGGCCCCCTCGCATGTCATCTTATCACGGATGACACAACCTCCTTTTCTATGCCATGTGGTAGCCCTTTATATCCAAGAGAGAAAGACACTTTCCCATTTCACATGCCCTTTCCTTGCCTTCCTATGGGCTACCACATTATGTATATCTGATCATACATAGTACGTACTTGATACTACATGACACATACGTACATACACACCGCAAGGCAATCTGAAAGCCTGAAACACTTGGCCACAACTAACAAGGGGCTCCTCCTCCTTTTTCCATTGCAGGAGGCAAAAGGAAAGCATGCATGTTGTAGGCCAGAGAAAAAGCTTCTCTTTGCGATGTGGAAGGCACTACCTCTGCCGTCGTGGGGTGTGGTGGGCTTGTGGACGGCACAGCGTGTAAATATTGCGAGGCAAAGGTCCCGTTTTGTGACGCGCGCACACATGGGATCCCGGGAGATATGCGGGGAAGATGGAGGGAAAGGGTGGCCGATGCTCGCGGGATTCGCTTTTCGGCGCCGAGGCTGCTTTATGCCCCCTTTGTGCCATGTCAAGCTGCGGTGGTGTGAGGCTCGTGCTCGTGTATATATATGGTTTATGATCCGATTATTATTATTATCATCATTATATATTCTTTTATTTGTTCTAGGCTCGGACTCCCTGCGGCTGGTGATGATCAGTTGGTATGCGGGGTCTGGGCGTTGATGTAAATAACTGCAAAATTTATCAGAGTATATTATGATTCTCGCTGCGATTATCTTCTTCTTTTCTTGTTCTGTTCACGGCGGCGAAATTCGGATTAAGATGTCAGTGCCCTTGTTGTTGTTGTCGAAATGAAACTGCACACCACAGAGGAAGGGGCCCAAGAGAAGTTGATGCACTCAGATTAAACTCTTCTTCAGTTACTTCAGAGTAAATTGGTTCCAGTTGTCGTACTAAAATCCACAATTTTGCAGTTATGTGAATAACTGGAAAATTTATCAGAGCATATTATGATTCTCGCTGTGATTATCTACTTTTCTTCTTCTGTGAACGGTGACCCAAATTCAGATTAAGATGTCAATGTCCTTGTTGTTGATGTTAAAAAGAAACTGCATCCCATAGAAGAAGGGACTCAAGAGAAGTTGATACTCTCAGACTAAAACTCTGCTTCAGTTCAAGGTAAATTGGTTCCTGTTGTCGTAGAAAATTCCAACAACTTTGTCCTGAGTAGCGGATAAATATGTCTGCGACTAGGAGCCACGACAAGTTCCATAAGTCATGCAACTAAACATAGTTTTCAGAAGGCGTGGCATTCGTGACTGCATCGAATTCATCTTAACTCTTTATTGCATTTCCATCCATTACGAGCTGCTGCGTTATTGTAGTATATAAGAAATAAAAACCACCAGCTAACACAGCATCCCCTCGTATATTCACAAGCAGTGTGACTCTAGTAGCAACAGAACTCACACGAAAACCATTGATTTGGCCAGCTCGAGGGCCCTTTCCCTGCCAAAGAGCTTCTCCACGATGGCAAGCGAGAATTCCATGGAAGTGCCTGGACCTTGGCTAGTGATCAGGTTGCCATCGACAACGACTCTGTTCTTGCATTCGCTTTGGTCCGTGAGTTTGCTCCACATAGCAGGATAGGATGTAGCCTTCTTTCCCTGGTGTAGAAGGGGTTGTGCAAGTTATAGAACCGTTTCAGTATGTCTGTTTCGCTAGTGTTTAATGTTTATAGCACACTACCTTCAGCAGGCCATGTGGCTCAAGGGCAATTGCTGGGGAGGCACATATGGCTCCATACAGTTTGTTTGCCTCCGCTTGCTTCTTTATGAAACCAATCAGTTTATCTGATTTGGCATATGCTTGGGCACCACCAAGACCACCCTATCAAGAAAATAGGAGGACATAAGATAGGAGTAAAACCTAAACATTATTGATGGACAAAAAGTGATGTATGGAACTTACAGGTAACAAAATGAGATCGTACTGCTGCTTAAGCGCATCATCCAACAGCACATTAGCAACCATCTTCACATTCCTGGATGCAACAATCTCCAAAGTGCCTTCCAAAGATGCAACGACAACATTTGCTTTCGCTCTCCGAAGAATGTCAATGATCATAACTGCCTCCATCTCCTCCGTGCCATTAGCAATTGGTACGAGAATCTGCGGCAGGAGAACAAGATATATTGAACTGTTAATGGAGCACTATACAGTCAGAACTAATCATGTAGTAAAATAAAGAGAAATACAAGAAAGCAGACATATACCGAGTTGACTGTTGATTGAAATATACTCCGTCCGTAAAGAAATATAAGAGCGTTTAGATCACTAGCATTTTAATTGCTTCTAGTGGCTTTTGTGATTTAATATTAGTCATGCGCTAAATAAATTGTGTTTGGGTTCGTGTGCACTATGCTCACAGCTACAATTTTCATCCCTCCCTCCTTATGCATAAACCAAGCTAGAAAGGCAAATTTCTGAAAGAGACCATCTAAAACAGAAAAACCGAGATACTGAATACACCTGTTCTCATCTTCAACCTATCCAAACATAGTGATCTAGCGTTACAAAGCACACACTGAATTCTCTACCATAAGGAACAATGTTTGCACCAAGAACCATGGTTGCACACAGAAAACCCATGCTACCCAATCCCACTTTTGTAGTTAAGGAGCTTGGTTGGCCTAATTACATTTGTAATACCTCATCCTACCTTGGCATTAACAAACTTTTACTTATTTGCCGTGTTCTAGTGTGTAGTCTATGATACTTGAATGGTTTCACCAAGGATCACATTTATAGCAACTCGATGACATAGAAATAGATCAAATGAATGCGGAATAATTAGATTTTCATAATGAACAATGCATACTTGAGGATTTTCACCAGCATTCCAACTAGTCGAATTCAGCTCCTTCATTGAAAACTCCGCGCCATGCTGGGGACGCATAACCTAAACGGATAAAATCACTTAGTTAACATGCATAAACAACAGCTGCAGAAATATGAGAACTACAACTAGGTAGGACAAAGGAAAGCAAGACAATGTTGCGAACACTAACAGAAAGCAACCATCGGAAGGAAACTAATCTCTTTTTTTGGCAAACGGAAACCAATCTGTGGAATTGTTCAATACAGAACCTGAATGCAGAGAAGTTACAAACAAAAAACATAGTAGTACATAATTCCATAAGCCACTTAATAACCAGTTTCAGCAAGGATGCCGATCTACAGTTTTAAAGCCAAAAGAGTGCTTTGTGTTCCCAAAATGGCAATGGTTCTTTGGCTATGCTCTTATGTCTACTTGTTGTTTGCTTTGGGGTCTTATGTCTACTTGTCTGCTTTGGGGTCTTTGGAGTAGTGTTGCTGATCGTCAGCTCCCTTGTACCTGCCTTGGGTGTGTGTGGTGTCGGGTTGTCTGCAGTCTGTATGTCGATGGTTCCTTTATATATAAAGCGGGGCGAAAGCCTTTTTCGGTAAAATGGCAATGGTTCTAAATAGAATTTACCCAATTTTAACAAACAGCTAACATTAAAGTGAGAAATTTCATCATCTGCCAAAACTAAATAATGACATCTTTAGACAAATAATGATTTCACAGAAGACTAAAGCTATTTTGCCCCGAATAATTGTTGTAATTATTTTATGAAGGTGCAATATGAATGATTTCTGAGGACATAACAAGAGCTGAATCTTATTTTATCAATTTTGCAGGGTGAAGTATAAGATACAAAACAAGATGATGAACAAATTTTCTTCCCTACATAGTACAAAAACTGCAGGACTACCAGCGCCTAGGCCTATCAAGAAACAACATGGCCTGATTATTTCACCATGAAGACGCAACATGGCACTACAAAACTTCCTAGTAGAGGACCATGAACATGTGGAAAACAAAAGGATAACTTCTCTGCAGTAGACATCTAAGAGAACGCTGAAAAACGATTCTTACCATTGGCCCAGCAACTTCATCGGCCTTTTCTTTGCCATACAGTTGTTCAACCAAAACAACAGAATACTCCATGGTTGTTCCTGGTCCACGGCTAGTCACACAATTCCCATCAATCTGTACCCTTGATTCTACGGCTTGCACCTCTGAAGGAAGTTTGTCCATGACTGAAGGATGACAAGTTGCCTATAGACACTTGAATGAGCTTCATCCAAACGAAAGCTGATAATACAAAGCATACAAAAAATGAATAATAGGTGAAATTATAACCTTTAATCCATTGAGCAAACCCCAAGCTCCCAGCGCCACAGCTGGTGCAGCACATACTGCAGCATAAAGCTTGCCCTTCTCTGCATGTTTTTTAACTATATTCTCCAAAATTTTGCAGTCTCCAAAGGTGGAAGCCCCAGGCATCCCTCCCTGAACAGAAAACGACCAAGATAAACCGAAAGGTCAGAATGAAGCAACAAGGTTCATGGATACCAACACTCCAAGTGATTTTAGTAAACAGAAACCCATGGTACCATAGCAAACAAATAGATGGGTCAATTCTTCAACAAAGACTAATTGGTAAAGTTTCTGATTAAGTTTGCAAAGACTACACACAGAAACAAATAATATAATTGATTCAATAACAACAAACTTGACACAGATTCATAAAGCAACATGATGTTCTCTCCACGTACAATAACCGAAGGCAACAAATCCAGAACAACACGGGTAAGGAGCTCAAGATAGCAGGTTAGCGACAAAGTGGACACTTATCCTCCTAAATCTGGGTAACTACAATAGAGTTATATTTCTTATGTTCAAAGTTGTAGTTCAACTGATGATCCATAAACTGGATCGAGAAAGGTGATGGATACAATTTGCAATGTAGATAAACATATGATATATTCATTACACAACCAAATGCAGAGTCGTAGACTGTTTGTCACCACTACTTTATACGGTACCAAGGCATCTAATTTTGGTCCGGTAGAACTCACTTCATTAGCAGGCTCTGTTCAACGAAAGGGAACAATTTAGCAAATAAATCGTTGGTCCGAAACAACCAGCCATAATAACCACATTTGGTTATATTTCCGAAACAAGGAGACGCAGAGTTAACAGGTACAGGTAACGGGACGGTGTATGTGACTCACAGGAAGCGAGATAAGGTCAAAATCAGCTTCGGCTAGGTCGGCGAGGAGCGCGTCGGCGGCAAGCTTGACGCCCCAGGATGCGGCGACCTGCGCGGCCCCAGGCTCGACGGAGGCGACGGCGACGTCCGCCCCCGCGCGGCGCAGCACGTCGATGGTCATTACGGCTTCCATCGGCTCCGTCCCGTTCGCGATGGGCACCAGCACCTGCAGCATCCGCCGCAGTTAGAGAACCACAAAACAACGCACCACGCCATGGGGGAGAGGAGGATAGGGTACTCGCTTGCTTGCCTTCTTCAGGGGAGGAGACGACGCCATGGGCTGCGGGGAGGAGGACGCAAGCGCGCGGGTTAGGGTTTGGAGGCGGCGTAGCAGAGGAGGTGGGGAAGGGGAGAAGGACGTTGTGAGAGTGGAGAAGACGGGTGGCCGCGTGGCCATTTCTTTCGGTGCTCTTTTCTCGGAGCTTCGGTGGGCTGTTCCAGAAGGGCGGACAGCGTGTGCGCCGAGTAGATGGGGATGGTGATGTCATGTGTGCACTGTGCAATAGGGGCAACAACAACAACCCTACAGGAGCATCTCTAGCGGTTCGGCCCAGGGGCTTGAAATAGCGCCGCCTCGGGGCGCGCCGGCGATAATTTCAGCGTGGGGATGGTTTGATTTCCAGCCATCGCCCCAAAGCCCCCTCCCGCCACACGTAGTTTTTGAAACAGGAAATCGGCCAAAATTCGGCCAAACACGCCACAAATTCGTCCGGACTAGGCGATTTCATTGATATTTGTATAAAACTAAAAGATAACTAAAAACTATCACTATGCCTAGCACTACTACGCCGTTGTCGTCGTCTGTCGCCGCCCGCCTTCTACATGCCGAGGAGGCTGTAGAACCGGGTGTAGTCGCCGCCGTCATCGTCGTCATCGTCACCGCCGTCCCACCGTCCTGCGCGCCGCCGCCGTCCCTGCTACACCCCTGACCAGCGTCGCCGATGCGTGGGGGGTTGGACGTCCCGGGCGCATCCTCGTCATCACTGTCGAGGACGACGACGACGACGCCTTCCTCGCGTCCGCGGCGACGAGCGGCGATCTCCTAGAAGGCGCGGCGTCGGCGCTCCAGCTGCTCGCGGACGTACTCTGCCCTTGCCCATTTGAGGGCGGTCTCGTCGGCGGCGGCCATGTCCACATGCTCCTTCTTCACGGGGAGCAACCCCGGCTCAGACTTTAGCCTAACGAACCGGGAAGAAGAAGGGGAGAGGCGGCCGCCCTCGTGGATGACGAGGGCGCCACCGTGGGTACAGCGCCCGAGCGGCGTCTCCTGTGGCTCCGGCTTGGGGCGGAGCGCCGGCGAACCAGAGGAGAGGGAGCCAGAGCCCAACGACGAGAAGGTCGCCGTCTCCATCCACCGCGGCGTCCAAGAGCTGTCGCGGCGGCGCGAGAAGCTGTGGGCGCCGGGTACTCCAGGCGCGACGTGTTGCCGGCCTCGATGTGCTCGAGGACGACTTCGAGGGTGCGGCCTGGGACGCCCCACCATCGACACCGCCCCTCAGAGTTGTGGCGGCCGCGGGGCTCGACGTCGTTCGAGGAGGCGAGCTGGTCGGCGTGGCAGCGTTCGAAGTACATAGTCCACATCATGTTGTTGTCGGGGGCGTACCTCGGCTGGTTACGCACCTCCTCCGTTAGCGAGGACCGGATGCGTGCCGGTGGGCACTGGTGGCACCGGGACTCCGTCGACGCTTAGTTTCCTCCTGCCCGACACCCGCATGTCCGGCGGTGCCGGGTAGTCGGCCTCGTAAAGGAGCCATGCCTCGTCATCGTGCAGGTGACGGCGGCCGAAGACATTCTCCGTTGCGCCGTCGCCTGGGTAATGCTCAGCCATGCTCGTCGGCGGGGAGAAAGGAGAGGAGAGGCGAGCTCGGTCGAGAGGGGCGTCGGCGGCGAGAGAAAGGGCTGTGGCGAATGGAGTGTGTGTACTCCCAGGCGAGTGAGGGGCGGCTTTTATAGCCGGGCTTGGGCGGTGGGAGGGCGGCCGGCGTGTGTACGTGTGGCGGGCTCGGGCGGGACGCGCGTCGCCGCGCCTTCACTGCGCCACCCGTGAGGCATCAATGGAGGCTGACCGGCGCGACAGCGCGGTAGCCTTGGCATTGATTCCCCGCGAGAACCGAGGCGATGAGGACGACGATGCACCGAGGTCGCTGACTCGGCGGACCGGCCATTCTTTCGCGCCAAAAACAATTCCCCCGGCGCCCCCGGGCGCCCCTAGCGCGCCGGGTTCGGCCTGGGTCCGCCCGCGCCAGTTTTGGGCCTAACCGGCGAAAATTGGGCTCCTCGGGGCGCAACTGGGCCGTTTTTCAGCGTCGGCGCTAAAAAAGGGCCTTGGGGGCCTGTTGGGGGTGCGGCTGGAGATGCTCTAAGGGCAACTCCAATGCACGACCCCAAACAAACGTAAGTTTCATCCATTTATTGTCCACTTGGGAATGGTGATAGTGTCGTGTCCGCCCGGATTTATGGATGCGCCGGCCATGCGCCAAACACACACCCGCATTTCGGTCGCATCTCGTCCACTTTGAATGCAAACAAAATGATGTAGCTAAATGACAGCGGGCATAGTTCACACCAGCGGACGCGTTCATGCTAGATCATGTCAGCCGGCAACAAAGCCAGCCCCTACGGAATGGTCACCCCAAGTTTGGCACCGGCACACGAGCCAGCCTTCAAAATGGACAAGTTTTAGCACCCGCAACAAAGCCAGCGGACGGCACATGAGCCAGCCTTCAAAATGGACAAGTTTTGTCGCCAACAACAAAGCCAGCGAACGGCACACCAACCATCCTTCAAGATGGACCGTCATCATGGCTGAGGTCTCATCTAGTTTAGGTCGTCGCGGGCGAACATCTCCTTCTGCCGGTTTGCGAACCAAGCCTTCCTCTCTGGTGACATGTTGTTCTTGTCGACGCTCATCAATGCGAGTGCCACCTCCTTGGCTTTCGTGTCGGCATTGGTGGTCTCGATCTCTAGCTTCTTGAGTGAGTGGCCTCCTTGATGTCAAGCTTCCTTGTCTTCACGGCCTCCTCCATGTCATGCTTCTTCATTTGGAGTTCTAGATATATCTCCATTTGCTCCTCCTTGCATTTGGTCTTCCTATCCTCCCTCGCATCCTTTTTGCTCATCATTTCCTCCAAAGTTCCTTGCAAGGCAATGAACGGCGTATCACGCTTGTCGTCGGCCTTTGAGTTTTTTGTGCCCTTCGGCCTCTTGAGCAAGTCTACCTCATCAGCCACGACTGCCTTCCCTCCTTTCTTCTTCTTAAGATTGATGTATTGGTCTTTGAACTTTGGGCAATCTTTGATGAGCACCCAACAATGTGTGAGAGTGAATGGCTTGTCTTTGTGCCGAGCCTTTTAAAGGCTTCCAAAGATTGGAATGCCTACACAATCAAACATGCGGCCACAATTGTAACATGAAAGGACATACAATGCGTGAAACTTAAATGGCATACCAACATGAATGGACACACGATGAAAAAGCGAGAGGTTCATACCAAGTCACCAAGGCCTAGGCCGCTCACTGGACGGGGTTTGACGCTCTCAACCGTGACACAATATTTGTTGCACTCTTGTTGGATGAATCCCACTTCTTTTGGATTGAATTGATGTTGCGGGTGCTTGTGAATTGGTAGGGGGTAAACTTTCTTCGCTCAAGAAAGTTCCTGTGAACTCCTGTCCAAAAGACGACTCCTTTTTGCTTGGCACCTTTGATTGGATCTTGGCTGATTTCCTTCCAACTCTCGCAAATCAAAGTGTCCTCAGCTTGGGTGTATGATCCTGGCGCGAATGCTTTTCCTCCTCTTTTGTGCTTCCACCTTTTGGGTGAGCTCATCGATAAACAATGACTCTGCAGAAATGTCGACCTATTCTTCTTCATCTTCACAATACAAGTCATCATCTTCATGCCACGAGTTGCCATGGTCGTCTTCATCACCATCATCATGGCCGGCGAACTGAGTGTCATCATAGGTACCGCGGCCGTCCTGGCTTTGGGTCGCGTCGGGATCAAAAAGCTTGCTCTTGGCTGTCGATGTGGAACGCCTCACCACGACCCTAGAAGATGACGTTCTGCATGAACGAGGCGTAGTCAGGGTCGTCGATCGTCCTCGTCGAATGAAATACGCCCTAGAGGCAATAATAAAGTTGTTATTTATATTTCCTTATATCATGATAAATGTTTATTATTCATGCTAGAATTGTATTAATCGGAAACTCAGTACATATGTGAATACATAGACAAAACAGAGTGTCCCTAGTATGCCTCTACTTGACTAGCTCGTTAATCAAAGATGGTTATGTTTCCTGACCATAGACATGTGTTGTCATTTGATGAACGGGATCGCATCATTAGAGAAAGATGTGATGGACAAGACCCATCTGTTAGCTTAGCATAATGATCGTTAAGTGAAAGGATCGAGAAGAGGTGTCTAGAGGGGGGTGAATAGACTCTAAGCAAGAAAAGTTGCAGTTTTTAATCTCTTTAAGTTGAAGTGGAGTTTTGGCACAAGTTTAACATTCACAATACATATCAAGAAAGCATGCAAAGAGTATATGAGCAGCGGAGAGTAAAGTATGCAAATTGCAAGAATGTAAAGGGATGGGATTGGAGTGTGCAAACGCAATTTGGAGATACAGAGATTTTTTATCCGTGGTTCCGATAGGTGGTGCTATCGTACATCCACGTTGATGGAGACTTCAACCCACGAAGGGTAACGGTTGCACGAGTCCACGGAGGGCTCCACCCACGAAGGGTCCACGAAGAAGCAACCTTGTCTATCCCACCATGGTCGTCACCCACGAAGGACATGCCTCACTAGGGTAGATCTTCACAAAGTAGGCGATCTCCTTGCCCTTACAAACTCCTTGGTTCAACTCCACAATCTTAATGGAGGCTCCCAAGTGACATCTAGCCAATCTAGGAGACACCACTCTCCAAGAAGTAACAAATGGTGTGTTGATGATGAACTCCTTGCTCTTGTGCTTCAAATGACAGTCTCCCCAACACTCAACTCTCTCTCACAGGATTTGGATTTGGTGGAAAGAAGATTTGAGTGGAAAGCAACTTGGGGAAGGCTAGAGATCAAGATTTATGTGGTAGGAATGGAATATCTTGACCTCAACACAAGTGTAGGTGGTTCTCTCTCAAAAAATGTGTGTTGGAAGTGTAGGCATGTTCTGATGGCTCTCTCCACGAATGAAGAGTGGGAGGAGGGGTATATATAGCCTCCACACAAAATCTAACCGTTACACACAATTTACCAAACTCGGTGGGACCGAATCGTGAAACTCGGTCAGACCGATTTAGTTCATAATGTGACCGTTAGGAATTTCGGTGGGACCGACATGATCAACTCGGTATGACCGATGTGCTAGGGTTAAGGTAAAGCCTCAACTCGGTTTG